CTATGCTACCGGAGCTCCCAGTGCGTTACTAGAGAAGTTAAATTGTTAGGTAAGTTTCAGATAAGGTCAAATATTAGAAAATTTGAAATTAAAAACTAAAACCAGCCTTTTGCTTGCTCCTCACTCAAAAAAATAAGTAAATAATCATTTGGGTGGGTGAATGTTTGAGGCATTACCACCAATTTATCAATGACAACGGTAACCTGAAAAAGTGTATGCCAAGGTTAATACTTTGCTTTAAGCCTCATTGAACTGAGAGGGTGTAATGGAATATTTGATTCTACTCTTGTACATTCTTACACGTAGACTGTGTTTGAGTCTGGTCATTCTGTTGGTTGCTGTTTCCATAAATGTGCTGATTGATGGTCATGGTCTTGTTCTGATTCCCCAGAGAGAAAATAGAAGATTTATTACAAAGTGACGGAAGCCAGAACTTGGATTTAGAGCCGTGTACCGGGTCAGTTGCCCCTAACGTTTTCACATGTCCTTTTTTTGGAAAGATACGTGATGGTGCCTTTGGTCCTTTAAAAATACTTCATAAATAGCCTTTTTATTTTGGGGATGTTCCCAGGATTTAAGCACTACTTCGGTGTTAGCACGGCAGGGATTGGGACAGAATGAATGCCTTGTCCTGCACCCGGAGGACAGAAAGCTGTTGTGCAGCGTTGACTCTAGGAGATGCCAAAGAGGCTCGTGATGTTAACCTCAAAACCCAAACCCAGCCCCCTGCCGTCAGTCGATTTCCTACTCAGCGACCCTCTGGGGCAGAGTAGAGCAGCCCATAGGGTTTCCAAGGCTCTCATCTTCATGAGAGCAGGCTGCCTCATCTTTCTCCCCCACAGTGGCTGGTGGTTTGGAACTGCTGACCTTGTGGTTAGCTGCTGCATGCTTAAGCACCGCACCACCGAGGGTCTTAGTTTAGTCTCACGGAGTGCTTGGCACACGAAAGCCTCAGAAGAGTTCATGGTCAGGTTCTCTCTGTCCGTCTGGTTTCTCTCTGCAGTAAAAAAAGGACAGTCTGCTTGAACATCTTCCTTTCATTTTCCTTTGTGACAAGCTTCACCAAAGTGTTTTAATGCTTCTGTGTACTTTACACTCTTTTTCAGTCATAGGAAGTAATACTCCGATTAGACAAGAACAGCTACCTCATCTATAAAAGCAATATAACAGTGAAAGCTTGATAAAGGCAAGTTATGAGGAGTATGCATAGCAGTAACAGTCTGCCTGTTTTCATGTTATGGATTACCTGTGTGTTCTAATCAAGTATCTTTAAAGTTAAGTATCTTTCCCAGGTAATGCTTGGTCAGCTAGGATTTTCTTATACACCTGCTCCTCACTTAATGACGCTCTCATTGTTGGGCATTTCGTATTTATGACAATAGTAAAAATCATCAGACTGTTTTATACGTTAACAGCGTGCGCCTGGCAGTAACGGATGCCAAGGATTGAGGCAAGAGTGACGCTGGCTGTGATGGTTATGGTTATGTGTCATCTTGGCTGGGCCGTGGTGCTCAGTGGTTAGGCAGTTACTCAACGATGCAGTTTGGCAGTTAGGTAACTGTGTAGTCGTCATCCTCCATTTTGTGATCTGACGGTCACCCCTCACTTTCGTATAATGCTGAGTTTTCATGTAATGCCCTTATCTTTGGAACCTAACTGTGCCAGTAAGTGAGGAGTGTGTGTAACGAGCCAATTCCAATGTCTTGTCTTTTGTTTTTACAGGTTCCAAAGAAAACTGATTTATCAGACTCTGAGCTGGAAGTAAGTGTTTCTGTTTTGTGTGGAGCTCTGTGAGGGACCCCAGGACTTAAAGACAAGATATAATTTCTTAGCTATCATTTCCTTTTTGAAATTCTGGGGTTCTTGGTGACCTTGACCATGCCAAGTTCTTGGCCAGTGCTTTATTTTGTTATTCCCTCCCACTTTCTTTGGTTGAATAACTACTTTATTTTCTTTTTCATTTTTTGTATTTTCCTGTTTTAAAAAAAAAATTGTGTTTTCAGTGAAAGTTTACACAGCAAATTAGGTTCCCATTTGACAGTTTCTGTGCAAATTGTCCACTGACATTAGGTACGTTTGTCACAGGGTCAACGTTCTCAGCCACAATTGTGTTCCAGTGCTCTGGTTTCCATCTGCCTTCTTCTCATCATTGTTATCCCTTTTTAACAGTTGCTTTAAAGCCTTTTAAAATGCTTTAATTATCACTTTGGCCTCATCCATTAGGCCTGGATTTGTCACGCTTTTGGACTTTGAAGATGTACGAAAAAGATGGGGTGTTTGGCTTAGGAAACGCTCACATGAGTGTTCTCTCAAGGGCAGGAATTAACCCTAGTTAGCATCATGCACAGGGTTCAAGATGTCTGTGAACCCCTAAAATAATGAGGAAAGTTTTGTGCGCATTCTTTTCTGGGGGTGTTTCCATTGGTTGCGTTGTATCCTCAGGTGGATCTCTCCAGAGTTGAACGTCAGCATTAGACAAATGGATGTTTGCACTTGGCTTTGCTTCGGGTTTTTGTTCTTCCATTATAATCTGTGGGTGATGTGTGCACTGGGAATTTGAACAAGATGGGAGAGGGGTTGTTGTCCGCTTTGCCCGGGCTCCTTCCCTGTTGTGTAGCTTACCCCCCGTGTGCATTCCAGATCCCACTGCTTGGCTGCTACAGGCTACTGTGCTAAACTCGAGCCGAGTCATCCCCTCCAAGCGCCCCCCACCCCCCAGTGCCACACGATGTCTGAGCAGATCTTTAGAGCTTCAGTTAGGACAATAGGCACTGTTGTCATATCTGGAAGCACAGTGTGACTGTGGCAATGAATTGACTGTATACAAGATACGAGACATTTCAGGAGATGTCTAAGTCATAAAAAAAATGAATGTGAAATCAGATGCATCACATGTGCTTAAGAGCTGTTGATGTTGTTGTTATGTGCCGTCGAGTCGGGCCCGACTCATAGCGACCCCTCCTTGGGTTTCCTAGGCAGTATCACTACGGAAGTAGGATTGCCCAACCTTCCTTCCGAGGAGTGGCTGGTGGGTTTGAACCACCAGCCTTCTGGTTAGCAGTCAAGTGCCTTAGCCACTATGCTACCAGAGCTCCCGTGCTTAAGAGCACGGGCAGGGAAACATTTAGTACCTGAAATTACTGTTTTGAGATAGACCTACTATGCGGTCTTCGTTGTAGTAATCATTTCATATTTAATACACTTACTTAGTTAAATTATAGCTATAGCCAAACCACTGCCATCGAGTTGGTAACGACTCATAGCCACCTTATAGGACAGGAGAACTGCCCCCATAGGGTTTCAAAAACACAAAAAGACCAAACCCACTGCCGTCGAGTTGGTAACGACTCATAGCCACCTTATAGGACAGGAGAACTGCCCCCATAGGGTTTCAAAAACACAAAAAGACCAAACCCACTGCCGTCGAGTTGTTTCTCACTCCTAGCAACTCCCATTGGGTTGCCAAGGCTGTAAATCTTTATGGAAGCAGACTGCCTCATCTTTCTCTCACAAAGCAGCTGGTGGGTTCAAAACACGAACTTTTCGGTTAGCAGCCAAACGCCTTAACCACTGTGCCAGCAGAGCTCCTTACAGCTGTATACCCAAAACTCACTGCCGTTGGGTCGATTCTGAACCATAGTGACCCCCATTGGGTTTCCAAGGCTATACATCTTTATGGAAGCAGACTGCCTCATCTCTCTTCCCAGAGTGGCTGGTTGGTTCGAACCACCAGCCTTCTCTGGTTAGCAGTCAAATGCCTTAATCACTACCCTACCTCCTTTTTATAACTGTGTAAACCAAAACCAAACTCACTGCCATCAAGTCATGGTTGCTTTTAAAATACTTTCTTGGGTTTTAGTTCCCATCAACCCCTGTGCTTATACCATGCATTCTTGATTTTCCTTAGGTATCCCAAAGGCATTCACGTTGAGACGTTAGAGACTGAAAAGGTAACCTAGGAACTGTCCAAGGCTAACACTCATAATGATACGGCGATATGTTGAAATTCAGAATTGAAACTTGGCTCTGCTGCCTGTGCGTTGGGTGACCTTGGCTAAGGGAAAGCCGGTTCGCCGCCCTCTACCTCGTTGCCCTCAGTTGGAGGTTGGGGGGTGAGGAGGCAGACGAGTGACCCTCTGTCTGTCTCACAGCTTTTTTTCACCACGATCAGTGAGTAAACACAAGTGAGCCTGCTTTGTGAACTTGAAAGTATACAAGTGCTGGTTCGTATTCTTCCTTTAGCAGAAAGCCATAATAATGTGTATGAAGGAGGAATTCTGTTGTGTGGCCAGGGAAACGAAACCTCAGACCCTGGGTCATAAGCCTAACTGTCGTCAGGTATTCCCAGCGGCACTGATAGAACTGTGATAAGGAGTGAGTGGCTGATGGTGGTTCTTTTGCAAACGTTTAGAATTTAGTTGTTGCTTTTAAATCAGATGTAAAATTAAATAACAGATTAAATGAATGAAACAACTCGCTAGAAGATAAATTTATTTAAAGACATAGACAGTTTTGTGGTGTGTTTAATCAGTAGAAAATGCTATATATAAAAAGGTGGGCACTAGTTTTCTGGTAGGTTACCAGAAAACCCAGAAATTAAAAAATCAATTAAATAAGATAGAGGTGTTTTAGTTTAAAACTAATTATATAGAAAATCATGTTCAGCTAGGACCTGTGAGTTCTTAATTCTTCATAAAAGGCGACTTAGCGCCATAGTCTGTCGATGCTTTAACTGCTATTTGTGGGGTTGAGTTAATAAACTATGGGAGCGTGACGTGGAAACGCAGATGCAAACCTGTGTGATGCATCCACGCAACTTTGGGTGTCATTTCAAAATACTCCGAGCTCATTTGGCCCGTGACAGACTGTGCGTGTAGTTAGACAGTGACTTGCAATGGTAGCCGAATCCTGAATTCGTTTCCATCGAGTTACTTGCAGAAAGTATCACGTCTGCTTGATGTCTTTCAGAAAGAACGGTACATCGTCATCAGCAAAGTAGATGAAGAGGAACGCCAAAGAAGAGAACAGCAGAAGCATGCGAGAGAGCAGGTGATTGGTTCTGTCGGTTGCTGTGGGGAAGAAGTGACGTCACAGTTACCTGTTTATTCCTTCTCTGTATTTGGTTCAAATCTAGATCATAGGTTGGATTCAGTGTAGTGAATAGTCTTCTGCCATCAATGAATTGAGAGAAAAGCCTAGAATGAAGTGAGGGTTGTCTAAAATTAAACATTAAGACTTAGCTAACAGAATGAGTCTTACATCATGATTGACCTGCCCTCGTTTGTATGAAGCAGTTTGGAAAGTATCCTTGATTATCATTCACATTGTGTGTCACTGAATTCCTTTGCACATTACCTAATAGTGCAGTGTCTCACTTCAGGGCCATTACTAGTTTTTCTAAAACAAAGTTCAGAACACAGGAGCTGATAGGTTAGGATGACATGGTCAGCTTTGCACTGTTGGGATGTCACCCTGTGTGCTGTGGGGAGGATGGAGCTGAGTGGGTGCAGTGGAGGCGGGGAGATAGTGACGTTGCGGAGTAAACTGGCTGAGAGACGTTGGTGCTTTGGAGTAGGATAGCTGGCAGCTGTGTCAGCGGAACCTGGACGTGTTCCCAAGGTGTTGTCAGTGGCTTTGTGATTGGGTATGATTGAGGAAAGGGGGAGAAAGAAGATGCTCTAACCAGATATTTGAGCTGCTGGGTAGATGACAGTTCACTTAGACTGGGTGGGCTAGAGGGAGATTGCTGGGGGCAGGGCCTGAGACACAGGTGCAGAGGCCAGGAGCGGGTTTAGGTGTGGGTGAGTGTCAGGGTCCCACATATAAGGCCACAGCAAAGGGCTGACTGAGTTAGTCAGGGAAGATGCAGCGAGCCACTTTTG